CCCGGATGGAAATATCATTAAGATTACAAAAATATGATCCACATGATGTCATTTGGTCTATGTCAGCTATTATTCTAATGCACTTCTTTTGGAGAACAAAAATTTCTTTAATGTTTGTGCAGTTTCCTCATAGGATGATCCCATAGGAGAGTCTTGAGTGAACATAAGCGTAATAAGCTGAAAGTGCAGTTTTTTTATTCGTAACTTGTTTCAATTGATTCAGGGCATAAATAAAAGATGATGATTTATTCGATAATGTAAAATATTGTGGTATGGATCCGGCCTTGCTCATATCTAGCAATAGGCCGTTAGCATATTGTTTACCATTTATCGAATTTAGTGTTTTTTGTGTACATTTATAAATTGCCAAAGAGGTACATCGGTTTTTCCGTAATCCATGTTGACTGTTGTGTAGGTTATTATATTTTTCAAAAAAGAAATGAAGTCGGTTTGACATGGCAATTTCAATAATTTTTGCAAAAGTAGGCAATAAGGCTATGGGGCGATAATTAGTCGGGTCTGACTTGTCTCCCTTTTTATAGAGAGGCCTAACCAGGGATACCTTCAGAGCTTCAAAGCATCTGTAGGCTTTAAGAGCTTTTACAGCTAAATGTAGCAATATCAGAAATATATTGGGTTAATAAGTCAAGACCAATTCTAGTAGAAGTTTCCAATAGTGTAAAAGATATAGAGATGTACAAAAACCATAAATGAAAATTATTCAAAATGGTTACATGGATATCCTCGTTCGATGTAAGAAAATGTATTAAGTATAAGAAATGTAATATAATATGACAACACCGAAAAGACAAAACAATATTAGGGCTTTATAGAAATAGTATTAAACCACTACGGTAGTAGGTAGTATTAAAACACTACAAATAACTACGGAGATTACTATAAAACATTTTTCTGATGGTTCCAAAGGTACAAATGGCGTGGGAGCAGCCTTTTTTGATCCACAACAAAATGTGTCTATGAAACTAAGATTGTCAGGAGCCCTGTATAACGAGAGCAGAGTTTAATTGCAATAGTAGAAGCTCTGTCTTTTGTTAACTCTGTCGTTACTCTTACAGATTCTAAAAGTGCACTACAACATTTAGTCCAATGTGTTTTGGGAGGCCAAGGCCATAGCTTATAAAGCTTTGAGATTAATAGTTAATTGACTATCCAAGAATATGTGTATAATGCTGCAATGGATTCCATCACATATCGGACTAGAAGGCAATGAAATGGTAGATAAATTAGCAAGAGATGCTATCACGGAATCCATGGAACCAACATCTCTTGCTGCAGAAATCATCCCATTTGTAAGAGACCTAAATATGGATATGTGGAGTAAGATCTATGGTGAGATTTCTATAGTGAAAGGAATTTGGTACAAAACTGTTCAATTGCGTCCACAGCAAAAACCCTGGTTTATGGACGGCGCACTTTCTAGAAATGCATTGGTCTTGGCCAGTACGAAGTCTAAAAGACTTCGTACTGGCCACCTTAAATAAGTTTTATCATCTAATAAAAAGAGCGGAATCTCCACTATGTAAATTCTGTAACAAACTTGAAGATATGCTACTTTTAATGGAATGTGGCCATTATGTGGCTCTAAGAAACCAATTTCAATTAATTGATATTTGGCAGGTTGGGGAGTTAGTGTTGGGTAACCCATTGGCGAAGAGGGCTGACTCAAAAAACTTTGCACTCATATGTGAGGTCTTGCCTACTATTAGCACGAGGCGACACGATAAAGTAGAATAATCTACAAGGATTGACATCACATGGCCGACATTGACACCCAAGTGTTACAAGCCTTATTAAAAATGAGATTTATTAACCTTTTTTTTACGGAGGGGAAAGTTTTTATATATACTCCTGAGCCCAGGGAGACTCAGGGGTTATGTGGGGACTCTCCCTCCAGACTGGAGGGCCTACCCCACTAAAACCCCCCCGGGTTTCCCTCTCGCCGGTTAAGTCGGCGCCGTGGGATCGGTGAACATTCACCATGACGAAGATTTAATAACCTAACCTAACCTCCGGTTAAAAAACCTCACCTCAAAAGTCATTCATCCCGTAGTTTGCCACCCTTAGAGGTGGAATATTTTCTTGAAATTTAAATGGGACCACATCTGAGGTACCTTCTTTCCAACAAAAAAAAAAGAATCATCAAAGTTGGTTCACAAATGGCGGAGTTATCGCGTAACATACATACAAAAAAAACATACAGACGTATTGAGAACCTCCTCCTTTTTTTAAAGTCGGTTAAAAAAACGAATAGTTTTCCATGATACACATTAACAAAAGTTGCCCGTCACGATACCTCCACACAAATTTTCAATTGACCGCGCATATCTTGTATAAAGAACCAAACTTTTTACGCGAATGTATAATAATATATATAATGTTGTTTATTATAATGAGTACTACCCCCACCAGCAGAAATATGGTCGGGTCTTTTTAATACAACCTGTGCAAGATATCTATATAATGGAGTAAAGAAGTAGAGATTACAAGACAGAAGAAATTGACGCGGTTAAGGGTTGTCAAAAATGTTTGACCCCTTGAGGCTATATTTTTGGTTGTCAACAGATAGTTTCATTCAATTTTTAAATATTGCTATTCACTCTTAGGCAACTTATAAGGTTAGCAAGGCTAGGAAAATACGCGCGTAGTTAGCCTTTAACGTAACAGTAATTGTACATGCAGACAGTAATGTGAAATATTACGTGAAAGGAATCATGAATTATACAGGATTCCCACAAGGATTTGGAGATTAAATATTAGGATTAGCCCATACGCATTTTGATGATGTAGAATGATAATAATGTCTTAGATTGAGAGCAAGGTTGCTTTCAGTGTGGAAAAAAATCTGAAGGAGCTTTGTGTAAATTAAGAGCACTATTTTTTAAATAGTGCGATTGTGTATTTGCAGCCGCTCGAGGTCCCGCCGCCGCACAAGGTCCCGCTCGCCGCGTTCTGGCTCCCGCTCTCGCAGTCGCAGCCGCTCACGCTCACGCTCACGCTCGAAGGGCCGTTCCGTCTCCCGGTCGAGATCTCGTTCGCCATCCAAAGATTCTAAGAAGTCAAATTAATATTTAAAGGCATCTGGGTACTCTAATAATAAGACATCATTCGTTGTAAGAGTATCGAATTTTTGCTTTGTCATTCTGCTGAATTTTGTTGTTTGCATTAAAATATCATTCCTATGTTGTCGATATACGACAAGCTTTGCGTTATATGATTTGACCAATAAAAGTGTCTCTTATGTTTTCTTTTTTTATTAAGTACATAACACCCCTTCTGCTTTACCTAAAAAAAGTATTAAATTGATTTGATGAATGTGGGCACTGCGTGTTTTAAACATTCACATGCGTGTTTTACACATTCTCTGCCTACTGGCGCATTTTTCGTGCACTTGTATGGCCTTGTTATAATGTTAAAAGCAAGCTGACGGCAGTGCGTATTTCGTTCCCCACGATCTGAAATTTGACTAACGAGGTAAAAGTCATTTAGTCTGTTTTAGACGTAAAAAAGTAAATATTGTTGGTCCAGTGTTTTAAGATTATGATGAGTGCTTTATGTTTATTTCCAAGTCACTATTTTCCAATCTCGATAATTACAGCACTAGCCGTTATCGACAGTAAAATACCCCGGCGGACATATCAAATATACTTTTCTGCGCCTATACAGAACCGACAAAATTAAGAGATTTTGATGATAACACTTGTAAAATAAATTCCAAGACGTCAGTAAAAAAAACGAATCGGCGTTGATTTAGATGTACACGTGGAATGCTGAACCATTATTCGAAAACGAATCTAAACTGCACTGTGCTAACATGAAACTCGTGCACATGCATCCTTCCTAAAATCCCCTTTGATTTCTTGTGTATGTGTGGGAGGGCGGGGGGGGGGGAACCATAATGTATGTGCAAGGCTGACTGATAAGCAATTAATGATTCTCGCATCCATAATATTTTTTTAGTTAAAAATCGTACAATTTTAGTTGTCTTTCTTACAAATCGTGCAGTCGAGAGCACATCAAGCTTGGTATTATGGATCGTTCTTTAGGAGAATATAAAGTTGAATGTAAACCTTAAGTGTCAATTTGTCTTGCTCTTGAGCCTGTACGTCCGTCCAGGCTATGTCCTCGTTGGTCCAGGCAATGTGTGTAAAGTGCAGGTCACACCACGAACGAAGCTAGCTAACTAAAAGAGGGCATTCATTATCCTGCATTGCAGTCCGCCGCGTGATGCAGGATTATGAATATAGGGGCAGTGTGAAAGCCATCCTGCGATGTGTCCTGCGACACTCCATATCTACGTGGGTCATACGCAGGATAGTGTGTGAGCACTGAGCAGTCTCCATCCTGCGCGGCGGACTGCCTTGCAGGTAAAAGAAAGCACGGTGCAGTGTTCGGATATTTATGCAAATGTCATATGTTTGCAGTTAAAACAATGGCAACACTGAAAAAAAAGCAATGTAGCGGACGGACGGACGTCGTTTCGACTTTTCTAATCCGTCATGCAATAATTTTTGTCATTCATGAATTCGTCGATAAAAAGTATTTTAGATGGTGTCTCCTACGTGAATGTTAGTTGAAATATAGATAAATAATGTGTTAGTATTTCATATCGCGTAGTTCATCATCGTAGTTCTTGATAGGTCTGTGACGAGTTCGGTAATGGTGGCCATGTCATGAAAATCCCCACAGCCATGGATGATAGCTCCGTGTCTCATCACAACGGAGGGCAAGTGGGATCTCAAATAGGAGTCAGTGTAAATAACAAACAAAATGACGAACCTAGTCAAAATGTCCAGTATTCGATACCGGGCATTTTGCATTTCATCCAACACGAATGGGCGAGATTCGAGTTGGAGAGATCACAATGGGAAGTGGACAGAGCCGAGTTTGAGGTGATTATTATCTTTCTTTTATTTGCTTTGTGCATTTAAACCCTACATTTTTCCTGCGAACTGCTGTATTGCTTTGTTGTAAGATGTTAGTGTTGGTTTTATATAAAAACAGGAATGTGTTCATTTTTGTTTCTTGTCTCGAATTTATCAGCTTTGTTTTGTGATTTTCATGCATGCAATTATGGCAAAAATTGGGTTAAAATTGTCATACACACTGAAGTAGTAATTGGTTTACAATAGTTTTCTTTCATATACCTCCTTAATATTTATATAATTACTGTACATCCAATAAAATTACAATTGCAATTGTGTTTGTAGGTATGATTTCAGAGGATTAATTGTAACCTATTAATTTTTGATTTTGTAACATACTCATTCTTACCTACAGAGGCCTAATTAGATAATGTATTGCATGTTTTTTTGTGTAAACATTTTATATGGTAATATTTAACCACCTCATAAGCAAAGCATATTGCACAGAATATTGCAATCTGTTCAGTTTCATACATATGTGCGTACACCTGTCTGTTCATAATAAATAATGGTTCAAAATTAACCATTCAGCTTCACCTAGTGTTGATTTTAGATACTTAAACCGTTTGTGAGTTACTAACCAAGGTTTACAGAGTTAATTTAATAATTTTGTGCTTTTATCGCTATCTCAATTTTGTCATCGATAAGTAACCAAATATTTTATGTCACAATTTTAGAAAGTGATGACTACAATCCTTATAATTTTGGTAACAGCATAATGTGCTTGTGGATCTACACAATGTGTACATATCTGATATTTTATTATTTCTGGCTCTTTAAGAGGGGTTATTACACTGTCATGTAGAATATATCGCCTACTTGTCAGAACAACGTGTTATCTCTAATACATTGAATATGAAATATATAAATAACACATTGTTCTAGCGAACGGGTGATATATAGGATCATATAATCTATGAAACATTTATATATAATTGATTTTATCCTTGGTCATAAATCTGTGAATCTTATACTTAAAAAAGGATATTATTATTATTATTAGGGTGGTTTCATTTGGTGCCTATGAGGCCCCTCATCACTGCGACCATAAATGATCTATTGTGATCACCACTAATCATAGCTCGGAGCCAAGACCAACAGTATTAAGGAACTGAAGGACTTTCCTGGCTCCGACAGTCTTTATGTGTTCTGGGTGTGGCCTGTGCCTACCCAGTATTGAACTTCTCACGCCCATCAGAGGGCAGCACTGGGTGAGGAGATGCACTGGAGTTTCATCTGCCTCGTGGCAGAATCTACATTCTCTGTTTTCTCTCTGTCCAATATTTGACATGTGCTTATTCAAGCCACAATGTCCTGTTAAAGCTCTGGTCAGCATTCTGATGCCATTCCTGTCCAGTGACACAGCTTCTTTACAGAGTTTGGCACTGAAGGCAGCTATCAGGGCTTTAGAATGCTCAAGACACTTAGTCTGCTGCCACACGTCTCAGGAGACGTGTGAGCTCTCGATCAGCAAAGTGAGCTTTGCCAGACTTGGCATTGTGTATAATCTGGCCGGGAGAAATATTTGTATGGCCTACATTTATTTCTCTCGTGAGTTTGGGTGTAATTTGTGGTTGTCTATGTGTGTGTCCATGGCACCCGCGACACAGGGTTTCCCTAGTGCGGGGCTATGTTGAGTGTGTGCGTTATTATTATTATTATTATTAGGGTCGTATTTCCAGTGCTTGAAATCATACTCCAGTCTGCTCAAATCCTGACTTGAGCATTGAGTAGAGTTTAGAATACGACCCTAAATGAAAAGACGCGTGATGATGATGAATGAAGCTTCATCTTCGTACTTGATACCTGTTTTTTAATTTGGTCGAATATTACTTATTTGACAGTAATTGTTTCGAACGGATGTCGGACGGAAATCGAGAGTAGACCCACAAGGTGTAGTGGACATGGCTCCCGTTGTTAGCAGGCACGCGACACGCTGTAGACTGCCCAATGTGACAATAGTGGTTGTTTGACTGACTTTGCCACTCCAAACAGCAGACGCATATGTTACTTTGGGCCTCACAATTGCCTTGTGTATAATCTTTGGTTTAAGACCCCAGTGCTGTCCTGCCATACGACTACAGATACCTAAGGCCATCTTGGCCTTGTTGACCGTGTTAGCTATATGACAGTTCCACCTTAGGGTTAGATCTGGGGTTACCCCTAAATATTTAACTTCTGCGGAAAAACTCACAGCCCTGCCACCAAGTAACGGTTCCACTAGCTTGTCTAGTTTCCTCTTCCTAGTGAAAGGAATAATAGTTGTCTTTTCCGCATTAATAAATAATTCGTTATCTTGACACCACGCGGAAATGGTGTCAAGTGCTCCTTGCATAAGTGATGATATAGTGCTTTAGCAGTGCCCTTGAACTGTGATCACTAGGTCATCCGCATATCCCTGGGCGTCATTGTTCAGTTCGGCTAACCTATACAGGAGTAGATCCACAGCAAGAGTTCAAAGGAGAGGAGAAATTACTCCACCTTGCGGCCGACCCCTTACTGTGGAGGCCACAAGCCGGTACCCGTGTAACGAGATACTGGCTCTGCGGCTTAAGACCATATTTTGCACCCATCTCATAGTAGAAATAGTAACCTTTGCAGGTTAGGCCCTTTACCAGAGTACGAATGGGCGTATTGTCAAAAGCACCCTAGTGTAGGTCTAGAAAGGCACATAGTGCTATTTGTTTGTCCTCAAACGCTCTTTCAGCCCTGGCCACAATGTGGAGCAGAGCCATCTCTGCGGATTTTCCACTTTGATAGGCGTGTTGAGTGTAATGGATAGGTCTACATATTAAGGACGAAGCCCTAATGTGATTGTCAAGTACCTTCTAAATTGCTTTGAGCTAGAATGAGGTTAGGCAGATGGGTCTAAAGGACTTTGTAAGAAAGTAGTCCTTTCTGCCTACCTTTGGTATAAATACAACTTTGCATGTTGTCCATTGTATTGGTATGTGTCCCAAGCAAGACAGGCTCTATATATTTTGACCAGGTATGGCAAGAGTACACTTATACCCTGCTGCAGTAAGGTAATACTGTCCTCACCTGGGGATTTGTACGATAACCCTGACATTGGCAAAATCGTCGCGCAAAACGACGGAGCCATAGACACAAAAGTTGAAGTTGAAGTTGAACGAGCTAATAGCCCAAGCCACTTGTCAAGGTCTAATAATGTTGGCGGCAATCCAGTTCCAGTCCTCGTTGCGAGGAGTATGTACAGTAATTACTGGGTTAGTAAGCGAGTCGCACAAGGCCCCCGGAAAGTGGGTTGACATTAGAAGCTCAAGGGTTTCTGTCGTAGAAGTCGAGTAGGTCCCATCAGACTTTTTTAACAGTCCTGGTTGATGGGAGTTGGCTTTGGCAAGCACTCTGTGTAGACATGCACCTTGTGGAGCACTAGTGATCTCCTCACAAAACTGCCCCGACGATGCTTGCTTAGCCTTCCTTATCTCCTTATTATAATTGGTTAGGGCCTCCCCGTAGGTCTCCCATTCCTTTGTCAGCTTGGCCCTATTGAAGAGTCTTCGAGTTTTCTCTCTTAGCTTTCTCAGTTTGGCATTCCGCCATGGAACCTTCCTATTGGGGATCCGAATTTTTGGTGGGCAGCTTTCCTTAAAAGGGCTGATGATGCCCCTGGTAGTGACCTCAACAGCTAACTCTAGACTCTCAGTGGTTTTGATCGATTTAGGACAACCTTGTAGATACTGCCCTAGTCTGTCTCTATAGAGGGCGTAGTGGGGTGGCAGACATCTCCTGCTCCCAGAAATCTTATATGTTTATGATCCGACATTGACGTCTCATCACTAACATCCCAGCCGGTTATAAGTCCGGCTAGTCTAGCCGTAGAGAAAGTAATGTCCAGAATTTCTTGTCTTGACCTAGTAACAAAAGTTGGTGTAAAAAAGGATAACAGACACAAATAAAAATCTGAATTTTTGATTGTAGTATAAATATGGATGTCTAACATACATTCTCAAACAAATAGTCTGTTCTTTTACCTGTAGGTATACTTTTGTATAATGTTATACACTTAATATTCTTTTAAATAGTTGTGAAATAATATAATATGATGATGCTTGAATTTGCTTGAAATCTTAGGAATATTGTTGCAACTAAAAATTATAAAAATGTTTTTTCAATGACTGATTATGAAGTGTTAAGTTAAGAAAAGAGAAAAGAGTTAAGTTCCTGTTTAGAATTATGAGCTAGGATTGGTTATGGTTTTTCTTGTGTTTATGTGTTTTTATACTAACAAATTTTTCACCATATACAGGCACGGATTGCCTTCCTCCAAGGCGAGAGGAAGGGTCAGGAAAATCTAAAGAATGACCTTGTCAGGCGGATCAAGATGTTAGAATACGCCCTTAAGCAAGAGAGAGCGAAGTTTCACAAGCTCAAATATGGTGTGGAGTTGCAGCAGGGCGATGTGCGCCCACCACCAGAGGAGCCCCCTATGGAACCAGAACCGGCAGAGCGAGTGCAATGGAAGCAAGGTCGCCAGCTCATCAAACAGTATCTACAGGTTTGCAACTTCTAACTTAATTTATTAATGATCAACCCGAAGATTCGTCTTTTCAAAATCTTATTTGAATTATCTGGTTCTTTTTAGGACATGTTCACAATGGTTGTGAATTTTTCGTGAATCTAATTATTGTACTTTACTATATACTATACTTTGCTTTATCTTTGTCAGTTTTCCCCTTAGGTGATTGTTCTACAATTTTAGTGTAGCCTCTGGAATAACCATCTAAATGCAATTGATATGTTTTATGGTTCGTGCATAGTCATGTGAAGTGTCATGATATACTATTCAGTTCCCATTAAAAATAAATTACAGTAAAAGCTCTTCAACTTACGACGATATCAACCTTTTGGCATTTAGCTAGTGTAATAACTATTTAGGCTTCATTTTTGTAATAGTAAATAGTTTTTCTGTTACCTACTTCAAAAATCTACAACAATTGCTCGCGACGTCGTCGCCATGTTCAATTTCCATGCGTTTATTAGTTTAAGCTATATTAAAATACCATTATTTCATCCAAATATATTTATTACATATTTGTCTTGACACATCCTTTCTTTTTTTTCGTAAATATTAAATCTGCGTCAGATCTGATCTGTCATCTCGATGGATGTATCCACTTGCGTAATTATTACACAGTTGTTCATTTTATCTAAGGGCTTTCCTGATAGATGTCAAGTATTTGGCGTGATATACCTATAAATTAGTATATCAGTCGATACCTCCCTTATAAGTTGTTGTAAGTTAAAATATAATTTTTCTGCTTTTTGACTTTAATATATTCTTTTGTACATTATAGGTTCTATGTTTGAAAGTAAACATATCATTAAGGCTCAACTCACACTGGCGCAGAGTCGAAGCATTGCGACGCGTCATGTTTTTCGCATATAGCATATTCATCTATATTTTCCCATTATTAAGGTACAAACTTGTGTTTTGCAAATATGGAATCAAGCGGCGACGCGCGTCGACCCTTGTTAGCATTCCAGCGGCTTCGCGCGTCGACGCGCGTCGCCGCGCGTCACTTGGGCGCCGTGAGGCGCCAGACGCCGACCAAACTGTGATCCCGGCGCACTAATGCAAGCGTCGTCGCGCGTCGCCAGGCGGTGTAGTTGAAAAACAGGACGCGACGCGACGCTTCGACTATGCGCCAGTGTGAGTTGAGCCTAAGTGATTTCTTTACGTTTAAATATGGAATGTATAATATACATTAAAAAAAGGATATATTTAAGTTAAAAATCAAAGTCAAATAATCATTTATTCCACAGATAAAATTTTTACATTTGAAAACATAATTTTTTAAGCTATTGCTCGTTCACTACGCTGACATCCCCGAGAAGAACAAGCAAGAAACTCTAGGGATTGCTCTTTTCAAAATAAACTTTAATGCTATAGAATACATTTTGAATCATATTTGTGTGGAATCTAGACTTACGTTGTCTTTCCATACATCTTTATTTAACACGTAGTCTACAATTTTGTAATATGACTTTTCAATTAAAATACTTTTAATGTAAGTTTTAAACTTAGGAAATAGTAATCTTAATATATGTTCCGGAATCTTATTGTAAAAACGTATACAGTTCTCCATAAAAGAATCGTTTACCTTAGTTAAAAGAAAACGTGGTACCATGAGTTTGGACTTAGTTCTAAGGTTAATTTTTTGGGATATCTTCTTTCTTAACGAAATTATGTATATTTTTAGGGGCATACAAAATATTTGAGTAAATGTACTGTGATGCCACAGTTATGATACCAGTCTCCTTAAACTTTTCTCTGAGAGAAATCCAAGAACCTAAACGGTACACAGAACGAATCGCTCGTTTTTGCAACACAAATATGGTTTGTATATCTGCCGCTTTACCCAACATGAGAATCCCATAGGACATTATACTATGGAAGTAACTAAACTAGTCTAGCAGTAGCAACATCGATAAGTTCACATATTCTACGGACTGCGTATGCAGTAGAGCTTAATCTGAAAATCAGCGCCACGAAACGGTTTAAAAAAAAAAGCCTTTTTGTGGCTAAAGCTGAACAAGTCCCGATTGCACCAGACGCGACACGCATGACGGTGAATTAGGCATTATCAATAGTTTTAATTTTTAATTTTTTTTTGTATTATTATTGTATCATTATTTATTTTAGACTCTCGCTTCTCCGAGAGCCTAAAAGATTAATTTTGAATTGTTATTATTATTGTTCCTCTGTTGTTTTGTTTATATTCGTGTCTGTGCTTGTGTAATGATAAACAGTTTTCTAATCTGCTGGCCAATGAAGATATATGTGGAAACCATTGGAGTTTACTATCCAAGGTCACTCCCTAAAAGACAGCTTTATTAACAAGGTCTATCTTTTCTCCATTTATTTCTATGATTGGGCTACTCGATTTTACATTAGGTAATTCAAATTTAACACACTTTGTCTTCTTGGCATTGAGCAATTAATTGTTAATATTAAACCAATAAACTACCTTTGAAAGGATATCATTAATATTGTCATATTTAACGTCATGTGTGTCGTCAGCAAACAATACTATTTCACAAAGGTCCTTAACAAAGAATGGTAGATCATTAATATAAATGAGAAATAAGAAAGGTCCAAGTATTGAGCCATGCGGAACACCCATTTTTACCGGAGAACCCAAAGAAGTCACTCCATTTATGTCTACTTTCTGAATTCTACCGTTAAGATATGACGAGACAAGTTCCAACGCCTTGCCACTTACTCCGTAATATTCCAGCTTCCTAATAAGAGTAATATGATCCACGCAATCAAAGGTCTTCGAGAGGTCACAGAAAACCCCAATAGCGTTCTGAGACCTTTCCCAAACATCAAACATATGTTTTAGTAGTGCTATCCCCGCATCGCTAGTCGATCTACCACTAGTAAACCCATATTGTTCGCTATGAAAAATATGATTCCTACCGAAATACGACAGTAGTTGAGTCAACATAACCTTTTCGAATATTTTACTTAAAATGGGCCTATAGTTACTAGGACCATTTTTCCTACCGCTTTTGAATAAAGGAATAACCTTACTGTATTTCATCAAATCGGAGAAAATACCTTCGTCAACCCACCTATTGAATGCATCAGCTAAATGTGGGGAAATGAGATAAATTACCGAGTCTATAACTTTAGTCTTAATGCCTACTGTTGCCCAGTCATTGAATTTAGTTTCCCTGTGGAAAGTTAGTGCTTTCGATGTAAACGATATTAAATTCTTTTTTAATACAAATAAATATCGTGCTATATAAAATATTTGGAAAACAATACAATACAAGTAAGCGATGAAGCAGTGATGCGAGTTGGTTCCAAGAAAAGATTAATCAAGTTAAAACTTTTAAATAAATTAATGAGTCTTACAGAAGTAGAACAGTTTTCCAACACGTTTACATTGAAATTTCTACAGAGTAATATGATTTTTTAAGTTGGTAAAATCTGTTTTAAACTATCTTCCATGATTAATTTAAATTCGTTGTAATTAGTAGAGGGGGCCTGTATACACATAAAATGACAAACTGATCCAATTCCACACAATAATTCTCATTGTACTATTGAGATTTCTTGTGTGAAATTGGATCAGTTTGTCATTTTACGTGTTCAATAGAGAGATCTGTGGTGTCCTTACGCTCTTTAAATTGTAAATTACGCTTAATCCGCCTTTACTTAAGTTCTTTCTTATGAACGAGCTAACTATTATATAATTTTCCACGTTGTTAATTGCTTCGTAGTCTTTCAACAAGTGTTCTGTTACACAAGATACGTCAACGGAAATATCGTTTTAAAAAAGACATTTCAAATTTTTTGCCAGAAAAGCCTTGAATGTTTTGATGAACTACATGAAAACGATTAGACTTTTCTGTTGACGTGTTTCTAGTTTAAATGTTGGTTAGTAATAAGTATGTTGTTGCTACTTTGAAGTCGAAGCATTGTCGTGGGACTGTGTTATATCTTCTATAAGAGCGTCCTTAATATTAAAAGCTAGTAAACTAGCAATATGTCTCAGATACCTTAGGGGTCAATGTAAACTATCCTCAAAAAGTTTTTGATGTCAAAACAAAATATAACGTCACTATGACGGCATGTCAAATTGGAGAAATGTAAATTTATATTATATACATACTTATTATGAGTAGTGCCTAGATTGGAGCATTACGGGAATGCACTTAGCAGGAATTTACACCCAACTTCTCATGTATTCTTAAGAACACGTCAATGCTACTTTTTATTTCTTTTTTGTTAATGTTATTAGTATTACCTAGCATAAGAATCACAGTTGTGTATTTATCAAAGTTGTGATCACTTAATAGTGTAATAATTTGACTAAAAGTAGCTCCTGGATAGCAATAGTTGAGTACCCTTTGCTGTAAGTGGTTACTTAGATGGTGACCTAGCCCTGCATCTATTCTATTAGAAAAATAACCGTTCTTCTGAATGGCCTGGTGGAAGTTCAGCTAGTCTTAGTTGAATATTGACGGTGTTGAACTTCAAAAGTTATACTGGAGTAGTTTCGTTTCCTGGCAGTGACATTGGCATACGAGGCACGTGTTGGTTGAGTTGACGGTGTGGGATGTGGGGATGGAGTAGTTGAAGTAACTCAACTAGTTCATCCGTTTCATCAAGCTTATCCTGTAGAAGAACTTGAGGAAGCTCTCTATACTCAGTACCACCAGCTTCAAAAGTTCATTAGTGGCGGCTGAAAGTTCTTCTAATTGTTTTTGAGTAGAATTTAGGTCTTCAGTTCTTGATTGAAGATCCAACTCCAGACCTTTAACTTGTTCGGCCATATTCACCTTTTGTTTGTGTAGATTTAGTTTCGCCGCTTTTATTTTTTTAAGTGCTTTCGATTGTTTTCTTATTTGGTTGTTCAATTTTGAAAATCTTGGGTCCTGCGATTTAGTGGTACATAATTTAGTGCTGCATAAATTCCTGTCTTCTGTCGCTAGTTCCTCACGGAGTGATAAAGTCGTTAGGTAGTCGTAGCTTCCGCTTTGTACATATAATGATACGATTTCAGCATTAGATTCCATTTGCTGTTTTTCCAGAAATCTGATGCGGTCTGAAGCATCTTCATGCTCCAAATGAATTTTTCCGAAACTCTCTATAACTAATTCTTTCCGTTCGCATTCTTCTTCTAATTCGTCACAAAATCGTCGATGTTCATCAAATTTTCCTTGAATGTAATATTAGAAGTCTTGAGCGCTTGCATTTCCGTTTCATTTATATCTCGTTCTTCAAGAAGCCTATCAGTCAGCGCCCTCAGTTCTTTATGCTCCCCTTCCATCTTCTTGTTCTTCTCTTCAGACAACATTTTTCTGGTCATCATTTACTGGAAAGCGTGTCACGTGAATGTATAAATTTAATGTAAGTGTACAGAACGTTTTTAAGGAATACTTTATATACTCTTGACACAGGCCTCTTCCAATTACAAAGTTACTAGCACAGAATAAGAACTATTGTCTAAATTACATATAAAAGATAATTTTAATTAATCAGGGTTGTTTTTTTTTTACTTGTGTGTTGTTGAGACTTGCAAGTATTTATGTACAGTCAATGTGTTTTACCAGTAAAAAAGCCACAAATGGTATTTTGGCTTACAACAACTTACGTGGAAGGTATCAATCTAATATATTTAGAATTAGTTTAAAACAGTGTCCAAATGAAGTAGGTCAGCGTGTTAGTTAAAGTACGTGTAAAATGGATTGATGTATAATACTTACATTTTAAATGCAGAAAGGTGTGCTCAATCAGGCATGTTGATTGAAAGGGATCATTGGCGCGTGTACGCCGACACTACAGTGATTTCAGTAATCCCACCTTTCTCATCTACCTACGCAGACTACTATTACCTTAGCAGAAGCGCTTTGGAATAAAAGAACTTTATCAAATTAAATTAAATCTAGGGTAAAGTAGTTGAAACAAAATAAACACTTCGAAATTCCCTACTTTACTAATCAATGTGTACCTTCACGTAGCCACAAGAATAATATTATAGCTTTTACTTATTAGTAAATTATTGTTTATTAAGATTTAAAAAATACTGTATTATTATATTATAAATATTGTATTACTAAATTTTTGTTATTAAAAATACTTATTAAAGTATTTGTATGGTGGCATCAAAACTATAGTCATATTTAGAAGATTGAAGTTATTGTGTTTTTAAAGGGTTGATGAAAGTATGTACAGGGAGCCTGCATTTGATTTTTTTAAAAGGATAATAAAAAAACTTTATGTTCAGCGCAAATAATTATCACAATTCATACAGTTTTAACATTTTAGATATTTTCTGTTTGCAATTCCCAGAAGTGGTTCTTGGAAAAGTTTTTTATTTTGTTTTTGTATTACTGCACTTAAACCACAATTTCACTGAACTTATATGACCAAGATGGTGTAGGCTTGCATAGAAAATGCCTGTTACATTCTTTAAGAAAGGCTTACTCAACAGGAAATAGGATACACGGATACTATCCTGGATGTGCGTTCAAACCGCGTGCGGACGCTTCTGGGCAGCTGCAGCGAAGGCCCCGAGGACCCGATCCTACGCAGCAGCTACGACAAGCAACGCGAACGATGCGATCCACTTAACTTTATTCGCAAAGTTAACTATGGTATGTATATTTCTTTAGTTCGCGGGTCTTTACAGTTATTTTACCATATTTGATTAGTACAGGAAATAATAACGTTGTCCTCGTAGGGCGTTACTATAGGCAGTATCATATGAACTCAAGGATTTCTATGGATTCCTTAAGATGTTAAATAATTTTTTTACGGCACAAAGAAAAATCTCTTAAAACACTTGTTACAAAGGACATATACAAACGTGAGCTTATGTCTAGAAGAGATCTCTTAAAAATAAATGTGTAAAAATGAAATCTGTGGGACTAATTATTGTACAATAAATTTATTATAATTTACAAGTGAAGATAATTTCTTCGCCGTTAAAGCTAGCTAACCCTTGTCGCTCACTGCTGAATGTTTGTTCATTTATTTCGATAATCATAACTTATTACCTGTTTTATTAGTTAGTATAAATCCATAATCAACACTAATTAATTACGGACTTGTACACAATCCATGTACAAATTCCTCAATAACCTTTCATCCAAATATAGCCTATTTAGCAGCAACTAAGTATTGATTCAAGTCCCCTTTGAACATTTTTCTATAATAAAAAAGATACGTAATGCTTGATATTTCGAACAACAATGAATTAATTTTTTTTTGTGAATATTTTATTAGTTGTAAAGATAGGTTATCATATGAAATTATCGATCGCATCATTGTTAATCGACAATTGGTGTTGCGATTGGCTTAAAAAAAATTGTTTGAAAAAAGTTTGTGGTTTCCGTACAATTTATGAGTGACATTTGATCGCAATTGCGGATGTGATCATACACGAGTCTGGCTTCTTTGTTAGGTGGCAAAGAGCCTCGCAAAGGTGGGCCTGGCGGGTACAACGAAGAGGGGCTCTCCGTGCAGGAGACAGCCGCCGTCTTCGCTAACTTTGAGTTCCTGGCCAACCAAGAGATGGATATGGATGAAATCGACGATTTGGACGCTAAGCAGCCCCACCACGCCTCCGGTAAAAACTTTGGACTCATATCACTTCAGAATCTTTAAATGTTGCTTTTTAAAGTAGAGTCAAGAAAAGCATACCATCATCACCGTTTTGTGAAGTCCTATATATCAGATAACTAACTAGAATTGTAAGCAATCGGCCATGTGCATTCATTTATATCTCACTGATAAAAATAAAAGTCGTACATATGTACGATGCAAGACTGTTGCACATTAATCCCTTCATTTACGTCACCTATAAAAACGCATGGAGTGATTATATTATGATTTAAAACAACATATTGTCGGTTTAAAGGTTAAAACTCACGGTTTGACCATTTATGTCCATCATGAAGATTTTGTGTTGTTCCGGCAAACATTATGTGCCCAACAGCGGTACATCTGTCATTGTAATTTTTTCGAACTGCAGTTTAATGAAGGACACTTCGCACTTACTATATTTTTGGATCGTAGAGTTTCCTCCCAGTAGTGAAATAAAAATATTTAAAAAACTCCTGTTTGAGCAAAATAGGACTTAGTGAGTTTTGCTTTTTAACCGACGATATAATGTTATATTGCACACACAAACATTATTACAAATTACATGAAAGAAAATAGCTTTTCCGGAAAAGATATCCCATTTAAAGGGTATTAAAATATTAATATAATATTATCTAAGGTGAGGAAGTGGACCATGAAGCAGAGGAAGTCCTGAACGAGTTGAACTTGCTGACGGAGAGTGAAGCCGACACCGGTGGACAGGGTGATGACTACCCAGTTGGTGAGTTAGCCTTTACATGATCTTTACAACAAAAACCAATGACAAAATCATAGTTCAAACAATTCGTCAGCGTCTTCAAATGTTTTAATTACAAGTTTGATAAAAGAAATTCATTAGGTTTTTCAAATTATAATAGCGACCTATCTACGTCGGGAAGTAAAATAATATTGAAAAGAAACTCTAATGACCAATTAGTATGTAACCGGACTGATATTTACAACTCGACTGAGAACTGGCAACTGGTCCTATCTCAATTTTGACAACTTTGAACGATGAAGAAAAAATTGTTTGCGTCATTTATATAGCATCGGGTTTATTAAATAAAAATACGTAGTGTATGTGTAATAAAAATATTTAAAAACTACATATTTTTATTTAATAAATCACATGCTATATAAATGACGCAAACAATTGTTTTCTTCATCCTTTAAAGTTGTCAAAATTGAGATAGTACCGATTGCTAGTTCACAGTCGAACTGTCAGTTTCTTCGTACGGATATGGTCCGCATTAGTTTAGTTCACGTAAAATCAAATGTACTGATTCGACCGATTTGTAATAAGAAGTTCTACTTCATTACAAAAAAATAAAATCTCCAAAATCTCACGCGAGAAAATGGTAAAACTGACAAAAAGTACCCGAAATCAGGGATAGATAGCACGTTTGACAAAAAAGTTATTTATGTCTGAGTTACCAGGGCAATAGTCTGGTCTGTATTAATTAACTCAGTTTTTTTGTTTTGTTATGGCTTAACTTCATGCGTTTTGACCTTTTGACCAGTATAAAAAATAACTTCCTCTGATCTTTCGTCACGTCACAAACCCACAGCACCATTCAGCTTCTATTAACCTGTTTAAGGCTTCTATTAACCTGTTTAAGGCTTCTATTAACCTGTTTAAGGCTTCTATTAACCTGTTTAAGGCTTCTATTAACCTGTTTAAGGCTTCT